CTCGCTGCAGCCCACGGCCGGTGTTCGAAATCTGACGGTTCTCGGGGTTCAGCCAGCCTCTGGGTAATGGGTACCACAGTTACCACTCTGGGGTAAATGGAGGAACGTCGCTGTAGTTGCGGACCGCGACACAGGCGGACAGTTTCTTATCAGCTGTCCGTACTAGTGGCAGAGCCTTTATGGTTTATAACCGTGCAATGGTACTGGTTCACATCTCCTGACTTGTCCTTGACCTTTATGGATTCTTCTTCTTCTTCTTTGCGTTCACCGGCTGTAAACTCAGGCGGAAAGCCCTGGGTGTTTGTCCACCTGAGTGTGACGTGCATATCCGTTTCAAAAATCTGGTCTTATTTGTATGCACACTCTCAGGCAGATGTAATCCGACTTTGAAGGATGGCCCCAGTTAGTTGACTCCTACGACATGCTTGTTGGGGAAGCTGTGGGTCTATTCTCTCCCCCCCCCCCAACAATGGGGTCCCGGGACCCACACTGACGAGAATATGGACTGAAGCAGTCACTGACATCTTGAGATTCCACAGCCTACTGGGTAACCTAGCGTGTCCTAGCTCAGATACCGATCATATATATATTAACCTGTGACGCCTACTGACGCAAATGAGATACGCATTGCTACCCTAAGAAGCATGTTGCAAAAGCCGGCTTATCAGAGCAGTTTCCTTCAAAGTCAGTGTGCATCTGCTTGAAAATCGAGGAGCCAACAGTCTGCCCACAAATAATCCAGATCTGTAAAACGGATGTGCATGCACACAAAAAAACCAACAAAGTTCTGGAACAAGACAAAAGTCCAGAAGTGGACGAACAGCCAGAAATTTCCGCTGGAGTTTAAAGTCGGTGTACGTTAAGAAGAAGTAGAAGACTTGCTCCAGTTACGTAATCGTAGTGTTGGGTGCAGGTGTCAGGATCCTTCATCTGTTTGCTCTTTCTAGTGGACCATATAAGTTAGTCTTCATGTCCTTAAGGCTCTTCTTGATATCGTCGTTCCATCTTCTGCGTGGGTTTCCCTTGAATCTTTGTCCACATGCTCCTTCGGCGCGTCTTTCTGTGACGGTACTGGGACATTCTCATTAGATGGAAGGGAGAATGAAAAGGAGGACAGATTTGAGAATGGAAGAAAGGAAGCAAGAAAGCTGGAAGGAAGGATGGTCGGAAAGAAGAAAGGAAGACAATAAAGAAGGCCAGAAGGAAGTACCCTCCAAAACTGGGTATATGGTAACTTTAGGGGCCCCAGGTATATCTGCGACACAGGATCATAGTTTCTGGAATGTAGTGGAGTTGGGTTCTGTTCCGTGAGATTTTAATCATTCGTGTACCTTCCATTCTTTTTCCCCATCCTCAAATCCGTCCTTGCATCCTTCGTTTCACCCTTTCTTCCATCCCTCCTTCCTTTTATCCATCCTTCGTTCCTTCCTTGACTTTTCCCCTCCAGTTGAACTGCTGCATAGAAATTTGACATCCCGAGATGTCTCAGCCTGGACGGCAGACCAACAAAGCAGAACCCAGACACCAAGTTCAACCTCTAAAGTTGTTAGAATTAAGCAACATTAATGGCAACACCAGCCTAGTGTAACCCGCAGTCCGATGCCGGTAAGGAGTTGAAGGGTGAGCTCAAGCGCTGAACTTCAAGTAACAGAACTACGTGATCGTGCAGCGGTTCGTCTACTTGAGCTAAAAACATAAACCATACGGTAAAAACGTGACAGTCATAAAGTAGTTGGAACATAGCTACACACAGGCCACATTGTCAGAGAAGGTAGAGGCGCCAGTTACGGCGGGGAGAGAAATATCTCGGTCATAAAAATGTCAAAGAGGATAGTTGTTCCATGCTTTGATAGTAATAGAAATGTAAAGGACAGCAATAGACGGATAAGACCTGCAGAACTAACGCAGTCTTGTTAGTGAGTTATCTGTCCCTGTCTGCATTCGTGTTTTTGTGAGCCAGCCGGTCAACGGAGATTTCACTTGTAAGTTGTACGTGTGTTGTATTTGTGACCCGGTCAACGGAGATATCACTTGTAAGTTGTACGTGTGTTGAATTTGTGATAGAGTCAGTGTGATCAACGAAAAGGACCATTTTCCACACCTTCATGCATATAGGCCTAAACCTATATTTATAGACCATTCGGCTATCCTCTGAAAAACGGTCCTAAATTATCTAGCCGGAAAATATACCCTAACAGGGCCTCAGTCACGTGCCAGTTAAGCACTTCCGTCGAGAGTATCCCAAACGCCGCTCACGCTAGATGGCTGGGACTCACGAGCAGCAGCTACCGCATTTCCTGCAGCTTCCTTCATTTTATTTGCTTGTGAGTCCTAGCCATCTAGTTTAGCCCCAATCCACGCCGCGTGGGGGATACTCTCGGCGGTGGTGAAAGTTCGCAATTCGGCGGTGGCGGTATAGTCCCCGGAAGTGCGCAATTGACACGTGACTGAGGCCCTGTTAAGGTATATTTTCCGGCTCGATAATTTAGGACCTTTTTTCGGAGGATAGCTGACCATTCGGCGCTCGGGCTGTGGGGGTTGGGGGAGGGGGGGGAGATGTGGTCAACATCACTCCAGCCGCCTTTATTTCCCAAGACTGTACCAGGTGTCTATTTAATTAGGGCTGGGTCGATAAGGAAAGCAAGGATATTTTTTAGAAACAAAAAACCCTGCTCCGCCAGGACCCGAACTCAGGACCGTCCGACCCGCAGTCGAGCCTCTAACCGGGACCCCACGGCGGCTTTGTGATAGAAGATAAGTTTGTATATGTGTTGGAGATTCATTGCAGCCAAAGTTTACCGTGGAGGCGATCGTCATTATCAAGTCAATTGACGGTTAGCCTCGGTTGTCATGTTTCGCTATCTCACACCTTTACCAGAATCACGGATTAGTTCAAGGATTTGGTCTCGCCCCATCCATCTGGCCAGGCCATCCCAGTATTTATCTCGCTGCCTTCCTCTTGCTCTCTTGTCATCCATCTTGCCAGTTGTTATCAAGTTCCCGAGTCGATTCCATCTAACATCTAAAAAAACATTGACTATGTCTATGTCTAATTGTTCTACAAGTTTTCGACTGTCATCTATCTCGATGGGTGCTGCGTCGTTTGTGTTTTTCTATCCTTCCACGATATTCTTTGCGTTCTTCTCAGAAACTACGTCAATGCTGCTAGTAAATTTTCTACGTTTATTGTACAAAAACATCAAACCAAATGAAAAGTAGACCAGCGAGCTTCACAATATTAGAAACGGAAAGTGAACGTTGCAGCTAAAGAGCCTTCATCAGCACAGTATACATAATCCCTTAACTGAGGTATTTCCGATGGCAGTCACGTTGTTGTGGGGCCAGTGGAATGGAAATAACAGCAAAGTTGCTACATAGCAATTTAACACTCTTTTTCTTACTGCGCAGACGGCACCTTATTGATGCAGTATGTCGACGTGCTCAAGCGGAAACTGGTTTTCATCCATAGATTCATATGCAGTGAGGTACTGCGTTTACCGTAGTCACACAAACCGAGACTAAATATCTCCATTTTGTTGAGCCGTTATTAAGTCTGTTTGGGCTCACAGTCCAATCTTCGATTCTCTTCTACCCTGTGCAATTATTTTGTTTTTCTATATCAATGATGGAATCCAGTCCCACCCACTATGATCCAGTCCGGCCCACTATGATCCACTCCAGCCCACTATGATCCAGTCCCGCCCACTATGATCCAGTTCCGCCCACTATGATCCAGTCCGGTCCACTATGATCCAGTCCCACCCACTATGATCCAGTCCCACCCACTATGATCCAGTCCGGTCCACTATGATCCAGTCCAGCCCACTATGATCCAGTTCCGTCCACTATGATCCAGTTCCGTCCCCTATGATCCAGTTCCGCCCACCCTGATCCAGTCTGGCCCACTATAATCCACTCCGGCCTACTATGATCAAGTCTGACCCACTATGATCCAGTCCGGCCCACTATAATCCACTCCGGCCCACCATGATCCAGTCCGGCTCACTATGATCCAGTCCGGCCCACTAGGATCCAGTCCCGCCCACTATAATCCAGTCTGGCCCACTATAATCCACTCCGGCCTACTATGATCAAGTCTGACCCACTATGATCAAGTCTGACCCACTATGATCCAGTCTGACCCAATATAATCCAGTCTGGCCCACTATAATCCAGTCTGGCCCACTATAATCCAGTCTGGCCCACTATAATCCACTCCGGCCTACTATGATCAAGTCTGACCCACTATCATCTCTCTAATGGTTCTCATTTATCCTCATTTCCTCAATCCATTTATTTCTTATTTCAGAGCCTGTTTAGTGATTGTCTGCTCATTCCCATGATTTGCCAACCTGCTACCATCTTGTATATTCGATATCTGTTGACAAAAGTCTGGCTGTCCAGACATTTTCCTTATTTCTTCGCCTTTATAAAAAAAAATCCATTATATTATGCAAGTTTCCGTAGCACTAAATAGACAACAATAAAACCATATTCAACAGCAAATATACATTAAATTAGACGGCAGAAAATATAACCTGAAAACATAATTTTATGGCAGGGCAGAGTAGGCCCGCAGCCTTACCTTCAGCCAGTCTATGCGTAGAGTTACCACAGTATCGGAGCTGAAAACGGGTCATCATACATATTGTTTGAGCTGATTGTTTGTTTGTTTTAGTATCCAGAAGCCACGAGTTTTTGAGCTGAAAACGGGACATTCCAGTCAAGCCAGTCTAATCTCCCATTTAAAAAAAAAAAAAAAAATTGTTTATTTTTATATTTTAAGGTCGCCGGGATAAACAGGTTAATTACTTGCTGGAAAAATCGTAAAACCCGAATCATTGCCTCGAAGAAAGAAACGAAACATTATGCTCTTTAACTACATTAAAACACACATGCTACTATGAAGATTCTTTTCAACACATTACAGGCATTGCAAGTATCACAAGCCTCTGTTTTACCAGTGTTCCCGTCAACTGTAGACCTGCTGACCGGTCACAATGACCACAGAGAGATTGACCCAGACCAGGCTGGAGCAATATGAGCTGATCCTGGCCAATTTGCACATCACTCCAGATGCGGTCAGTGGGCGCTCCCTAACTGTTTGCTCGTCTGTTTATCAGTCTAAATGTGTTTGTCTATGCGTCTGTCTGTTGCCTTGCGGAATACCGGTACGTCTACTTGTCTGACTGATATATGTCTGTCATTTCCTTCTGCCCTTGTAACTGTTTCTGTGTCTTTTTTTTTTTTTTTTTTTGCATCTATTTATGTATTTTCTGTTTCCGTCTGTTTGTGTCTATCTGCTCCCTCCCTCCTCATCCCACTTTTTCCGTTTCTGTCTTTATGTCTATCCGTGACTGTCTGAGTGTAGTAAGATCTGTAGACACAGACTACACAATATGCGGAATATGTTTCAAACAACATGCGTGTACACACCGAAAATAAGATACAACATTCGTGTACGTACAGTTAACGAAATAAAATATTTGTGTACACAGAGAAAACAAGATAAAACAGTCGTATACACACAGAAAAAAAGATAAAACATTTGTGTACACACAGAAAACAAGATACAACATTCGTGTACACACAGAAGACAAGATACAACATTCGTGTGCACACAGAAAACAAGATAAACTTTCGTGCGCACACAGAAACTGAAGAGACAACTTTCATAAAAACAAGAGAAAATCTTTACTGCACACATGGAAAAAGAGACAAAAATGCACAACATGCATGCACACACACTGATGTATTTCCCTAAAAATCTACTGTTCATCCATCTCGCAGGCCACTAGCCAAAGGAAGGAAAGCCTGGCCCTCACCAGACCCCATAACCACTTGTTCAACCGCAGAGAGTCAACCAGGCGTACCTCTAGCGCGATACACGAACAGACCAGCAGTCAGTTGACCAGACGCACCTCCAATGCGACACACCAACAGACCAGCAGCCAGTCAGAGAGGAAGAGCTCAAGGTCAATGCCAAGCACAGCATCCCATCAAAGTGCTGCCCTCTCGGTGTTCAGGGTCATCCAAGCTGCCAGGAACTGGAAACGACTCTCCCGTCGACACCAAACCACACAGGAGAAGCCAAAACCACGTTTGGAAAACACATACAGACTTGGCCCTGATCCGGAGAAGTTATTCAATCGGGCGAAAGTTGAAGTGGTCATCGAAGATGTTTTTAATCGCCTGCTGAAGAATTTCAAAAACAGTTCTGGCGATTCCAAGGACAGGTGTTTGCTGATTTCAGCCGAAATCTTGAGATTAGTGAAACATCTGGACTTCCAGAGGTACAAGATTGTCTGTAATGTGATCATCATGCAAAACAAAGGTCAGGGGTCAGAGGTCGCCAGTCGCTGTGTTTGGAACTCAGAGATGGACTCCTCTGCCTCCGTGACCCGTGCTATAGGAGACATTGTGTGCGTGGCCAATGTCCATGCTATGTATTTTGAATAAGAAAAAGCAGTTGGACTGTAACTGTGCACCTCAAAACTTTCAGGATGCCTTAATTGTTTTATGTATACAGTAATTTCCTAGTTCCGAAATACCGGCAGAAAAGTAAGAAGTCAGATGTCTAAAACTGCTAATTACTACATATATGTGCCACTTTTTTTGCGATGGGGGGTGGGGGGGGGGCGGGGAGGGGGGTACTTTGAATCTGAGCAGTGCTTGACGTTAGTAAAAAGCTAAATAACCTTTTTTGGAGCCACAATCAGCAACCTACACTTTTGTTGGGCCACGCACAATTTGTCTCCAGCCTCCCACCCCCCCCCCCCCCCCCCCCCCCCCCCCAAAAAAAAAAAAAAAAAAAAAAAACTAGTATTTGTTAGGCAGCGTAACTTTTGATGGCATAATCAATGATGTTGAATTTTGGGACATCAAGAAAAAATATATTTTTTTTTTTAAAAGTTATAACTTGGAGCCTTCTAGAGAAACAAAAAACAGCGGCTTAAAACTACAGCTAAGGATAAAAGAAGCTTGTTTATTTGTGGTTTAAATTAGTCAAGGACAGAAGAGAAACGAGGGAATCAAACGACAATCAAACACCACAAAGCAAGAAAGAAAGAAGAGAAAAGCTACCAGTTCTTTCAGTCATTTACAGAACTGTGATATTTGCCAACCATGTTTATAACTAAATCGATACAAGCAATAAAAGAAGCAATATTAACTCTCCCATTCTACAAACTTATAGTTTACGTCTGTTTGTTCACGAGACATTCCACTTAACACCATTTCGATATTGTATACCCCTACAAAGCGACCTCTATGATTAAGCCTGCTGAAAGTGAAATAAAAAATTCGTGTGATCGCCTACCACCGACTGTTGCGCGGGGTGTGGCGCCGTAATGGCGTTCAAAAAAATCCCCAATGTCTGATCGAAAATCGATATTCTATCGAGATCTGCACTGAGCATAGGATACAAGATATGTTTTACTTCTTGAAATATTTATTTCTATGAATAAGGCCTTAATGTCGTTATTCTCTCTTGTGTGTGCTTGTCAAGGCACTGCCTGCTGTCCCCCCACCCCCTCTTTTAAATATTAGTAATAATCGTCTCCTCCTCGTCTTCGTCATCCTCCTCCTTCTTTTCCTCCTCCATACCCTAATTGTTTTCTCCACGTTCACCTCTTTCCGGGCTTTAAAAAGTATGAATTAATCAAGAACTGATACCCCTGCACTCCGGACAATCCCCGCACTTGCTCCGTCTCCTGTCTCAGTAGCCAAAGAGTAGTCGACATTCTAATAGTACCAGTTGCAACCTGATTTAAAGTCCGCCTTTGTTTCCCCCTTCAGTTTTGAATATCTTCCAGAACCTCAACACCCCCCCCCCCCCCCAGCCCGGATAATTAGTCTGTCAGTGAATGGATGAATATTTGGTCTGTTCTAATACATTGTGCACTTTGACCCCAGACATCCTTCCCCACTTCCGTTTTGTCTTAAATAAAGTAGCTAACCACCCGGAGGACCCGCAGCAGCAAATGTTTGAGGTTTTGAACAACGGACCAACATCATGGCTCCGTTCTTCTTCTAACTCAAGTCTGTGTCGAAGTAGCTCAGTGCAGTGCACGGGCTCCGAAGCACCGGCGAGGATCCTAGAATATTTTGGGTAGAATTGTAATTCCAAATTTTGTTCGGGCAGCGCCGTTAGGCTACTTTTTTTTCGAATTTCAACTGCCAACGGATTTTTTACGTGCACAAAATACACACGGGCGTCCGATCTCACTACCCAGAAACTAAGGGGGAATTACTAAAAGTCCACGTGAAAAAATCCCAGCCTTCAACGGGGCTTGAATCCGGGACCTCTGGCACTCAACGCGGACACTACGCCTCGATTCCACGCAGCCTCCTAGCAGCAAATATATCAGCCTGCTCGTTACCCGGCACACCTGAATATCCTGGACACAAAATCCAGACTATGTTCTGGATCTAAGCCAGTTTCTATTTTCCGAACCATGTTTTGTGAGTTAGTTACAATTACAGCACGTTAGGCTGTGCTGACCTCCGGCCACCGGAAAACTGCCTTACCGACTTCACTTCCATTCTCAAATTGGATGTTGTGATATTAATTGCAAGGCTTTTTTGTTTTCAGTCAGTGTTCATACACCTTTGCAATAAAACCCTACCCACAGTTTCTAGCTCTTACTACAGATCCATGTGTGTATATAACGTGTCTATTGCGCTGCTAAAAAAAAAAAAAAACGTCCCTTTAAACGGGTTTATGAAGCCAAACTCGTTTTTAACAGACTAATCCGCCCTCAGTGGTAGATGAGGTCAACATCACTGGAATGAACCTTGGCTTGACTTGGAACGAACCTTGGTTAGGCCGACGTCACTCGACATGTACCTTGTCTTACGGCAAATCTGCTCTCGCCATGGCTCACTCTCTGGATGATTAATTCAACATAACTTGCACTGCTCGAACGCCTAGGATTCATAACACGAAGGCCAGTCGGGTTCTTTGTACATACCATCAGTTTATTCAGTCACATTTGTTCCACATGTTCCCACAATTATTCAGACTTTTCTCGCTCACGACATATTCAAATATTAGTCACACGCACGACATAGGGACTACATCTTCTGCTCATACAACCGTCTTCTCTGACTACTGATGATCCACTGTCCTTGTCCTCCCCATCGGGAACTCTCTGGGATTTTCCCGAGAATTCACAACATTACAATCACACTGACCTCTTTTACTTCCCATGACTTTACCAGTTACCCATTTAAGACTGGGTCGGCCTGGGAGACAAGGTTGAAAAAAACAAACATCCGGCACTGAGGATATGAACCCAGGACCTTCAGATTCGCGGGAGATCTTCACCTCTCCGGGGTGCTTCCTGGGGGTTACCCAGGAGCGCAAGTAAACAAAGCAAATCTCAGATACCCCCTTCAACCTTTGAGGAAGGCATCGTTGACTTCCCTAACATTTATCATAGCCCTCATAAAAGCTGATTCCGGAAAATGAAATTACGAATTATTTCCCGTATTTTAAATAAGGGAAACAATTCATCATGTTGACTATCTTTCTGTTTTCTTATTTCCCCTCATTTTCCTAACCACAGTATATATAATTCTGTGAAATGTTATGATCTCGAAAGCCTAACATTTGATATCCTACTATCTGTATCCTCAGGGGAAATGCTTTTAGCTTTAGTTTCTTCTTACTGAGTCTCAGACGCTAGCCGGAATACGTGACCTGGGAGTAGAACCTGGTGAAGCCTGTCTTTGCCGTCTTTGACATCATGACAGGAAACATTATACAGTGCTCAGCTTCTTATGATAAAAAGCTACATTAGATTGGCTGCTGCATCGAGTGTATCATAACGTCGATTGTGATAGCACAATGTTTGTTTCCAAGGAAATTAATTACAATTCAAACACAAGATACATACATCTGACAATAGGAACGATACTGATAATAATAAGCAAGATGCCATACCGTGGACTTTATTCTGCTAACAGTTATTTTGTTAATTAAACCCCCCCCCCTCTCTCTCTCTCTCTCTCTCTCTCCCTCTCTGTATCTCTCTCGCCTTTCCCAATCTCTTTCACCGCGTGCGTTCCCGGTTGGTGGCCCTTTAACAATAAACGTTCGTTCGTCTTTTCGGTAAACCCCCCCCCCCCCCGCCCCTCTTTTTCACCAATCAATCCTCTCTCTATTAGCCTATCCCTTTGGGCACGCGTTCCCTCTCTCCCTCTTTCTCTTACCGCCTTCTCTCTTATATCCCTGTCTATAATTCTATCTCTTTTACAAGTAAGGTCTTTCTCCTCTCTCCTTCTCTTTCTTTCCCTCTCTCATTTATTCCCCCTCCCTCTCTTCCGCTCCAAGGTTCCCTCGTATTCACTGCCCACTCTTCTCTCAGCCAGCACATTGATGCTATGCTATAAGACCCAACTCTTCTCCCAGCCAGCACATTGATGCTATGCTATAAGACCCAACTCTTCTCCCAGCCAGCACATTGATGCTATGCTATAAGACCCAACTCTTCTCCCAGCCAGCACATTGATGCTATGCTATAAGACCCAACTCTTCTCCCAGCCAGCACATTGATGCTACGCCATGACCCCACTCTTCTCCCAGCCAGCACATTGATGCTACGCCATCAGACTCTGCTCCACCTGCAGCTCCATGAGATCCACCAGCCGAAAGCGAATCTTCTTCTGTCCCCCCTCCGAGTAGATATATTCAACATGACACGGCTTTTCTTTCGATATTGTCTCCACACTGGGCTCGGAAAGAAACTTGGAAATCCAAAAGTCGAGGATGCTAACCTGTGTGGAGTTTACTTTATCATGAGATGATCTGTGCCGAAGATTGGTTTCTGTGGAATATTTCAGTGTCTTGTATCCGTTGCCAGTGATATCAACGACGTCCGTGGAGGTGGACACTTGGTCGCAGTATGTGGGTGTGAGCGATGCGGGTTTATACCCCGGACGCTGCTTCCATCGAGTGTCATCTTTGCTAGGCAGACGTGACATTGCAGGCTGATTCAACCGTGTAGCTTCAGTGTAACAAGGTACATGCTGCGTTCGGATCTCTAGATTTGGGTACACACTTGGCTGTTCTAGCAGGCGCGTGTTGTGCTTGAGTTCTGCAGATTTTAAGAAAGATGGCGACATATTTTCTGAATACACTCCCCCACAACACGGCGTAGAGGAGGATACAAGATCAGGTGAGCCAGGGGTAGATAACTGCTTTTGCCAGTTTCCCTGTGGAGTTTTCGGTGATTCTGGAAAATAGCTAACTGCGCATGTTTTGTGGGTATCCTCTCTGAAGCTCCTTGACCCTTCATATCCAATAACAGACTTTTCGCCTAGGTTGTAGCAGATCATGTCTCCGCAGGTAGAATGCTGTTGTATGGGGTTGTATGGGTGACAACTGAACTGTCTCATGTCTTCAGAATTTTTGCAACACATACAGTCAATCTCGGTCGTTTCCCATTGGCTGTATA